TACAAATATTTTTTATAGTCTCTTCAATATATAGATGGTAATTATAACATAATCCGTGAACTTATTGATCTTTCGTATTCAGTGTAAATTCTTTATTATCTTAATATATCCGTACCTACCACATTACATATAAGTGTTACTATGTTGTACGTACCAGCGGGTCACAGTCGCTTCGCTTGGGTTCGCCTCTAGAAAAACAAAAACGAATCTATCCCACGGGAACCGTACATTTCGGGATAAAAGGCCTATATGCTTTCCAGACTATAATCTATCTCTGTGCCTTTTATCGAAATCCGTTCAGTTGTTCCGACGTGATTGTTTGTTACTCACATATATACATCTCAACTTTCACATTTATAATATTAGTAAAATATGCATAATAAATCAATATTTTATGTGAAAAATATTTCGTGTGAATAGACACTCGGGTCAAGATTTATAGGAAGACAAGAACTTTTGTCGTTTCCAATAAAAATTTTTTTTTATTTAATAATAATAATAAACAAAATAAAATTACAACTACAGTTTAGCGTTTACAGTAAAGCGTAAATAGTAAAGTACCAGTAAAACTCAACACCAATTAACCTACTTACGCGTATTTACATGAAAATATTACATATTTAATATTAAACTTCATTTCATCCCCTATTTTTCTGACATTATGACAAAACCAATTCCGGAAACTGGTGAAATCATTGTGTCAAATATTACAATTTATTTCTTAAATTTTTTGGTCCGGTATCTAAAATTAGTTATCCTTAAAAAGTTTAAATATTACATAAATTAAAATTGAAATATCCATCTGATTGGTGTCTATAGGTTTGTTGAATAATTAACATGTCTTTATCCATTTTTTCCACTGATGGGCATGGGCCTCCCTTAAATATGAGAAGGATACATATTTGAATAACCGACATAATATGACCAAAGATAACACAAGATAATAATAATAAATCCTTTTTTAACTTAAAAAAAACTTAATATCCACTATTAAGATTACTTTTTTATTAAAACAAAAGACACAAACAGAGCCATAAATAACTATTTAATTCTATCTCTTCTTTTTTGAAGTCGATCCATAATAACATAAACATTGAAAAAAATCATTAGTTACAATATCGCTTCTCATGGATATAAAGCGATTATATTTATCGATTTTAAAACAAGTAATAAACATCGATTTACAATTGATTATTATATCTCGAAAATAAATACAAAAATAGAATCCTCCTCTTTTGAAATCGGTCAAAAATAAGATAGTGGCAGACAAAATTAAAATCAAGTGTGTATATAGAAATAATTAGTGTAGACAGTAGCAGCAAAGTAAGAATTCTAAAGTGTTAGGCTTGTCAAACCAAACAAAATAAGCCCAAACTCAAAGTATCTACTATTAGTCGTTGAAGAGTTCCACCTATCCACCTTCTGGCCTTGCCATCAGATCAGGTCAACAATACCGAACTACTCTACTATCAACGGAAATAGAAACACTTGCAAAGTTTCAAGTCAATATGACAATTAGAAGTAGGTTAAATTCATTATTAGCTATTTTTCCACCCTTAAGGGTGGTATTTTTTTTTTGAAATTTAAATGGGACTAATCTGGAAGTATACCCTTTCAAACAAAACCTAAAAATTGTCCAAGTCGGTTAATAAATGACGAAGTTCTGAGATAACAAACATAAAAAAAAATACAGTTGAATTGAGAACCTCGTCCTTTTTGAAGTCGGTTGAAAAGTGCACACAGATATGAATTTCTTTTTACAGTAGGTACGTTTTGAAAAGACTTTGATCCTAGCTGTGGGACCGACATAAAATCTATCAATCATGTCGGGTCGATCTAAGACGATGCTATTAGTTATAAACTGCAATTAAATAAATTAAAAGTTTCGATTCTTTAATCTAACGGGAAAAGAGAATTATGAACAGTTATATAGTTAATTTAGAATAATGCATCTGACAGATAGTAATTAGAAAATATTCGGAGAAAGGTGACGTCTTGATTTGATAAAAATGCCAACTTTGATAACACTATTTCAACATATATATATATATATATAATATATATATATATATATATATATATATATATATATATATATATATATATATATATGTATATATATATATATATTAACGTACAACTAATTTCGGACTTACTTTCATTCGTTTACATGTGCTTCCGTTTCAAAATTTAATGTGAAATGGCAGTTTCTATGAATTACTAACTGAATCTTCGAATGAAGCTTGCTGATTAGGTTCATCTCAATGCATTAAAATCAGTAGCAGATGAGGATAAAAAAGCAGCACACTAATCGAGCCTGATAATACGCTAACAACAGGTACATAGGTATAAATATATAAACCATGTATTTATTATAAGATGATTGCAAAGTAGTTAGGTATGGCAGCTGCCAGTTCCGGTACACTCTACAGATACAATGATTCACGACACTTTATTATATACCTACATATATCTAGCTATATCTATATTTCATAGATCTTTAAATATTTTACACTAGCGGCTCACCCTCGCTTCGCTTGGGTTCACCTCTATAAAAGAAATACAAACCTATCCCACGGGATTCTTATATTTTTCTGGGATTAAAAGTAGCCTATGTGTTATTGCAGATTATAATCTACCTCTGTGCCAAATTTCATACAGATCCGTTCCACCGTTCTGGCGTGAAAGAGTAACAAACATTCATACTCACAAACTTTCACATTTATAGTATTTACACAGATTAATCAATACTACTAAATACTAAATTTTAATTTTTACAATTTTAATTTTTTAAAGGTCTGCTAATTCTGGAAATTGGTGAAATCATTTTGTCGAAAGCTCGTATCACTTTTTATCCTTATAAAAATGTTATTCTCATTCGGGCAAAAAAATTTCTTACCGGACTACTTTTGTAAATACGCAAGTTTATAAGTACACTAGCGGACCCGACAGACGTTGTCCTGTCTACACGTCTTTAATTTGAAAATTTCAAACTTTTTTTAATAATTTTTTGATGAAAATTATTATTCAAATTGTGAATCTAAACCATTCCCAGATCCCCTTGAACACACACAAAAAATTTCATCAAAATCGGTCCAGTCGTTTGAGAGAAGTTCAGTGACATACACACTCACAGAAGAATTATATATATAAAGATATATATATATATATATATGTGTGTGTATGTATATATATATATATATGTATATATATATATATATATATATATATATATATTCTCCGAAAAGCTGGACGGATTAGGATGAAATTTAGTATAGAGATACACTATGATCTGAAGTAACACAAGCCAACGCTAGGGACGCGCCCGAGAGAAACGACGGTAAGTCATTAGCTGTGGCCCTACTATTATAAATGCGAAAGTTCATATGTGTGTGTATGTTTGTTACTTCTTCACGTTTAAACAAAGTGGAATTTGTACGAAATTCAGTAGACTATACACATGTGTGGAGTAACATAGACTACTTACTGTTAGATTATCTATGGACACACCCAAGCGAAGATAGGATAAGCCGCTAGTTTTAAATAAGGGTCAAATAACGTATATATTTACAAAACAAAGTATGTGTACAGCAAACAGATATCCCTAAATATACAAGTATCTTTAAGTCTCACGAAAACGACTTGATATAATAAAATTAATCTTAACAAACTCTAAAAATTACTAAATTAGCTAAGATACAACTTCTAAAAATTGCTCTTACAAAATCCAATGCATCGAAATAGCACACGATTCCATAAAAATATTCAACATATAAATTCCAGTCAAGTTTTATTAAGTTTTTTGTACGCTATCATATAAAAAAGTATAGATAAATTAATTTCTTCTCTTCAAGGTCCTTAAATGGCTACTAATAGAGTCGCCTGAGCGATTATGTCTGTGGGATCCATAAAGTGTAGGTTAGCAGTATCAAAACTTGCTCACTTTCGGCGTATGAGTCATATATAATACAGTGGCCAGTTACCCACATTTGTTTTGACTTCGACAAAGGAATGCGTACTTACAAACATTATAGCATTCTGTGAAAGTACTGTTGCAGTTCTTAATTCTGAACACGAAATTGTGGTTAAATAAGAAACTATCTGACGTTTTTAACCATTCTAGTTGAGTAAATAGTAAGATAAATTTAACATATTATGTTGTAACCGTTTGAAGAATTAATCATCTAAAAATATACAGTAATGCCATATGACTTTATACATATAACTATATTATATATTATCATATTAGTATTAATTTACAAATGACATTACAAATGGTATATTTTGTTTATTAAGGATTTTTTGATAATTTCATTCAGATTAATAGCAGCAATTTTTGCCATTAATAAATATTATCTCAGTAAAAAGTGATGTATTTTATCACAAATTTCTGGAATATATTTGGAAAAAAAGCATGTATACTTATATTTATCCACGACACGTTTTTTGCCCATTATTGAATAAAATATTGTTGTAATATAAAAAAAAACGAAATAAATTAATTTAAAATGTTCTCTAAAATTGTACAAAATGTTACCAGTTACGAGTAATTAAATGTACGCAATCTTCAAATGTAATCTTACAAAATGTTTTTCTTACAATGGGTAAATACTTAATTCTCAAAACTAGTTTAACATCTATAAACACATGAATTTAGTTGAAAGTAACATTGTGTGGAATCCACACATGTAACAAGTTTCTTATAGGGAACAAGTGCTCGTATCTAATTTGCATTTAGCTAGCAACGAGAAGACCGCAATAAGTTGTGACGTAAGAAGGCGGTAAATCCTCTGCCCATTCATGTGTCAATCTTAAGTTAATGGTCAGCTAGAATTGGCTCAGTTTCAGTGCAAACCGAGCCCGACTCGCGTTCTGTATGCGGCCGACCAGCGCGCACATCGGGGACTCTTCATATATAAGGAGATCTTACGAAACCGTTAACACATTCGGAGTACAGCCTGTCCAGGAAATCACCTGCTTCTGACCGGAGATATCACAAGATGCTGTTAATTTTGGTAATTATTCTGTGCATTTATAATTAGCGATAATAAATAGATACTCAAATAGCAATTATATTTAATGATTTGACATCAATGTTTTGAACTTTAGATCTGACGACCTTCCCACTGATTACGTTATATCTTTAAAGACATGTTGCAAAAACTTCACTTGTCTAGTGTTCAATGTTTAATCACTTCCAACACAATGAATGTATGCCATCGGTATTTATGTTAACGATTTTCACAAATAGCAACACCTCCAGAGTTTTATTTCAAATATCTTTCTCATGCTTTCGATGATAAATACTTAGTAAAATAAAATAAAAATAATTTTTATCGACACTATACCCAAATCAAATCTCAATTAGAATAAAGACGCTCCGAAGCCGTTAAGGTCGAATTCTTTATTATTTTTCTATTCTAACTGGTTTCCTATAAAAATAATTATGTTGTCATAACACCCGCGCCTTAAATGAAATTGTTTTGTTTTTCTAAGGTATTTAAACTGGCTGCAGCATAATTTTAAATTATCATAATTAGTGAAAATATCGTCTGTCTAAACATCTCAAGTACCGGTGTGTAATTTGCGAACATTTCAGGTCATGGGTGTTTCGGCATTGGTGGAAATATTGGGGGCTAGCCCTTCTATCGAAAGCCAGTCACGTCACCAAGTCTTAAATTATGAGATGGAGACATCAAATATGCCCAATTCCTACAAATTTCAGTAAGTACTTTTTATTATATACAATTTAAGTCATATAAAACTTGTTATACGTCTCGCTTAGTAAGAGTTTTAATATTTTTTTAACAATTTATAAATATTCATTGACGATATTAATGGTCCCATGTTCGACTGCTAATGATTCGTGCGGGTGTCAGGTTCGATTTTTGCATGAGATGGATGTGTATACGTGTAGTTGTACTGGTGTGATGATGGTGAAACGCGATATTGGGATCTATCGCCAACTACTTAACAGACGGGAAATGTATTATACAAATATTTTGTTTTATTATTGTCATAATGAAAAATCTTCTTTGTTGTATTTTGCAAAAACTTAATAACTAAAACTTATTCTAATATTCATACTAGTAATAATATTTAAATATATATATTTTTTGTTGCTTCCACAAGCAAATGTCGAATCGCGAATGATATAATTTGGTGTTTTTTTAATTATAATACATAAGATATTATTAATATATAATTAACTCCTTGTTTTAAGTACAACAAATTCTGGGCCATACCTATAGGCCGCTGTAATATTCGAGACCAAAATTATGATCGAATGTGCAGATGACCATAATATTTTTTTCTATTTTAAGCAATCCAAACTGCAACTATTAATAATCATAAATAATTTTGTAAAAAGTCATGCTACAGCTTCTACTAAACTTTTTTAAACAGTCACAAATCTTTCAAAATTATCCCTTATCTCGCCTTACTTTCTCGAAGATACCAATCTATACATATAATAAAATTGTAACTAAGCCGAATCTGTACATTAAATATTTTTAGGAAAATCTTAATGAAATAAACAATATTATCGATATAGAGGCCGAATCTATAGTTTTTAGAATTTTTGTCTGTCTGTCTGTCTGTCTCTTACCGCATCACAGAAAAACCACTGTAGGGATTTTGATGAAATTTGGTATGGTGATAGTTGGTTTTCCGGGTCAACATATAGGATACTTTTTACCGTGGGAAAATATCATATTATGAAAAAAAATACGAAAACTGCAATATAAGAGTATACTAACATGTAAAACCTAAGAATTTGGTTTTTGGTCATCTAAACGCAGGCGGAGCCGCGGGCAATGCTAGTTAAAATATAAAATTATGATTGACAAAATTGACATTCATTATAGTAGGGGAGCCCAAGAGGGGATTTTCTGTAGTTACTCGAGCGCGGCAGATTAACATAAAAGAGGTTACCTTGCACTCTATTGAGTACTTTCACCACAATATAAGTCTTCTATATAAAGGGGCGCGTCTAGGGAAGCCGATTAAAATATTTAAAAAATGTTTTGATAAGGTAAAAATACTCGAAACCGTCAGATTAAGGTGTGGTAGGCTAGTCACATCCTGAAAAGTGTCCAATTTAATAATCTGCCGATTTGCACAAGCCTAAGAGGCAAAATCATCATAAACTTTATAGTCGATTTTTGCCTCTTTGGCTTGTGCAAATCGGCAGATTATTGAATTGGACACTTTTCAGGATGTGACTAGCCTACCACACCTTAATCTGACGGTTTCAAGTATTTCTACCTTATCAAAATATTTTTTAAATATTTTAATCGGCTTCCCTAGACGCGCCCCTTTATATAGAAGACTTATATTATGGTGAAAGTACTCAATAGAGTGCAAGGTAACCTCTTTTATGTTAATCTGCCACGCTCGAGTAACTACAGAAAATCCCCTCTTGGGCTCCCCTACTATTACATACATATTACTCATTTTCATAAAGACTACCATCTATTCTGTCGGGAATGTTTGTACGACTCATATGTAATAATAATGCCAAGTATATGAAAGTTTTTATTAAACTTCCGGTGTTTATTCCGCGAGTTTCCTTTTTATCCATATCCTGATAAATATTTGTGTGTATACATAATATTATATTAAAATTCTAAGTGAGCCTAATCTGTATATTAAATATTTGTGGAAAATCTTATTGAAATAGTCATTATTATCGACACAGAAACCGATTCTATAGTTTTTAGAATTTTTGTCTGTCTGTCTATCTGTCTATCTCTATGTTTGTCTATCTGTCGTTCCCAACGCATCAAGAGAAAACCACTGGACCGATTTTGATGAAATTTGGTTATCCAGGTAAACATACAGGATACATTTTATTTCTTGAAATTATCTCATCTCTGAGAAATCTATACTAAGCATTAAAATGTAACTAGAATGAGTCCCTTTTTTTTTTTTTTTTTTTTTTTTTTTAACGTTGGGAAATGCATTTACGCACGACGTGTGGGACTCACCGGCGTAATACAGCCAGTACTACCCACTAAAACCCAACAAAACCTTCCCCGTCTTAATGGGGCGTCGCAGGATCGCTTACGCATTCAACTACGACGCCCCGACGGCAGGTCTGCCGAAGCAGACCACCACAACCATGGGGTTGCTGAAATTTGGTTATCCAGGTAAACATACAGGATACATTTTATTTCTTGAAATTATCTCATCTCTGAGAAATCTATACTAAGCATTAAAATGTAACTAGAATGAGTCCCTAGTCTTGTTGTATTTAGCCCTTTTTAACGTCCCACGGCTGGGCTCGGACCTCCCTTCAATACGAGGTGGATCAGGCCATAGTCCACCACGCTGGCTAAGTGCGGGTTGGCGGACTTCACATGTCTTTCAAAAAATCTGATCAAAAGACATGTATGTCCTATTCTTTGACGTTTAAACAAATTTCACATGATGCACAGACAAATAATATTTTTTTGTATCTATCGATCAAACGGTCCACGTCTCATGAAATCATAGAGTATAGAGATAAAGAAATAGTGGAACCATTAAAATAATATGCAGATTAAATAAAAATGATTTCGTAGTATTTTTATCACTTAGAGGCCGCCAACATTTTTATACATTAATATACTACACGTGATATGGCAAATAAAATTATATAGATTTTATATCATCACGTGTAGATTAATATTCTTTGACTTCAAAATAAACTTGTGATGGCTTACAAATTTTGTCAGAAACTGCACAACATTAGTCCAACTAAACAGTCTTAAATTTGACCGTATTTTATTATATAGATTATGCAAAAATAAACTACCAATTTATATATACATATATCTATTTAAAATTTGTTATATATTGGATTTTAATTTATAATTAGTCTATTAATTTACTCGTAAACTTAGTATATAATTAAACTAAACAGCTTCTGTCATGGCACAATTTAATTGCGTAAGAACTGTCACTGAAGACAAAATGGTGGTCTCTCAGATTTAACAGATTAAAAATGTCATTTAAAAAAAACCTTTTCTGAAAATTTAAAGGACAGATTAAAATTAACTACCGTTTACTTAATTGTATCAAATTTTAACCTTACGATGTAGGTAATATTTTTAAAACTAAATATACAAAATATAATAAAAGCAGGATCAGGTTCGTCCCTAGATTTTTTTCTAGATTTTCCGATGTTTTAATTTTTAGTTTTAGTTATTTTGCTATTCGGGATGAAGACAAATCCAACAAAATGAAGATAATAAAAACCGTTCTCAAGTTATAAGTGTTGTAACAAACCTGATTTTGTTTTATATATGTAGATATTACATATATATAAATAAAAATTAATATTCTTTGTACCTTTCGTATTCCATAACCATTGATCCGATTGTGATGAAACTTTGACGTCTTTTTCTTCATAGGTTCGCGAAGGGTCCTGGACCAAAATAATAGAATTTTTCTTTTTCTACGTTTATCCTCCACACGCGTTTTATTATGGTTTTTGATGGTTTAACAAGTAGTTTTAACATATATAAATACTCCGAACTGAAATATACTTTACTAACTACAAATTACCTAGCAGTACTTGTAGAGCAACTAAATGTTTTTAATAAACTTAATTTTCTATCTTGTGTGATAGAGTCCCATGGGTCTCTATTTCAAATTACGCGAACAGAGACCCATAACGACAAAAAAATAACAAACGTACCACACGAGAACCGTACATTTTTCCGGGATAAAAAGTAGCCTTTGTGCTGTTCCAGACTATATCTATCTCTGTGCCAAAATTCATCCAAATCCGCTCAGCCGTTCTAGCGTGAAAGAGTAACAAACATCCATACTCACAAACTTTCACATTTATAATATTAATACGGATAAGTTGAGTTACTTATTAATTCAAATGAAAATATCATGACAACTTGACTTACATAGGTCATTTAAATTGGATTTTTCAGATTATTATTAAAAAAAATGTTTGTCGAGATCGACGACTTATAGCTATTAAACGCCAAATATTTTTCCGAATTTAACTCCACTGACACAAATTTATTTTAAAAATAACCACTTTTTTAATTATACATATTTGAAGAAAAAATGTTATCAACAAAATAAATTATTATTTTTAAGATACTAAAAGCGGCATCGGCGCTAAAAGAAATTGGCCTAAATAGGATAATTAACACATGTTGATAAATGATAAAAATTCCTTGATAACCGTTTCTTTTTACACTGGTTAATTGTTTTAATTGGCTGTTAAAATCTCTAATCGAGATATTGCCGGACAACAACCAGTCCTACGTTCATGACTCTTGTTGCATACATATGCATACGCAAGCAAGCGTGTTTACACATAAAAAACATGTCCGTCTCGAAACGTTTTTAGGTTTTTTGACCTCTAAATGGTGATTTTAATATTTTGTTGTCTTACAATTAACATTTTTAAACAAATTTCTCATAAATATTTTGGAACAATGGTTACATCTATATGCAGAATCCACAAAAAACGTGTGAATTGAATTTGTTTTTATTAGTCACTGTAATAAATCTTTTAAAAAAGATCCTTTTAATACAAGGTAGGTAATTCTCATAGCATTAGATAATTACTTTGATTGGCAGCCGCATAGAATATATTATTATACGAATATAAAATAATAAACTAAACAAACTGTCAGGCATTAAGAATATTAATGCGCAATAAATCTGTATAAAAAATTAAATATGTCATGTCCGGTGCCAATGCAATGTGGAAA